GATTGCAATCTTCAAGGAGAATATAGTGAAGAAAATCTTACATCATACCAACACTGCTGAATATGCAAAATAATTTAATAGGTATAGAATAGAATAGAAGTGTCGGCGCTGAAGAAATAGGCCCATGGCCTGTTGCCGATTTTTGAACTTTTCGTGACTTGATTCACAAGGGATCCGGCCTTTGGAACCCGATCTTTCCATAACTGACGATTGATCGAGATAGCTGCTGGACTTATTGCCTGCTCCGTAATTTGCTAGGCATTTTAAGACTGAACATATATATGGGTTGGCAGAAATTGTTCCTATAAGCAGGTTTCATTGATGACCGGAGAATTTGTTTCATTGACAACTTTCTTATAGTTTTTTTTCAATAATTCGAACAATATTTTTTTTTTGCACTGGTAAATCGAAAATCAGGTTATCGATTGACATTTTTATTCCGTAAACGATGTTTCGAACGTATCAATAATTTATTATCAAGTTACAATACGCATTTAGTGATGACATTTGTAACTGATATTATTATCAATTATTTTATTAGTATTATCAATCATTAGTAACTGATATTATTATCAATTATTTCGTAATTATCATATTCTACTTGTTTCGATTCATCAATCAATGCCTTTTGTAACTAGATAATGAATGATTGATCCATTCGAAACGTCATTAACAAAATAAAAATGTCAATCGATATAACCTGATTTTCGATTTCTCAGTGCAAAAAAAAATATATATATATATATTATTTTATATATTGGGAAGACTAATAAGAAAATTATCACAAAACAAATTCTCTGGTCTTCAATGAAATCTGCTTAAATAATTTAATTAAGCACAAACTAGACTATTGCTGCTATTAATAAGAGATCATTTGGCATCATTAATAAAATCAGGATTCATGAATGCATGTCTTGTGAACCTCTCTGACCAAACCTTGATTATGTCCCAGTTTTTTCACATTTTGAACAAGCAGCGAACTTTTTGATTTTCTAATACTCCGAGTATGAACATCTTCAAAAACAGACTAGACGAAGCTATGCAGGAGCATATGTTCAGTCTTAAAATGCCTAGCAAATTACGGAGCAGGCAATAAGTCCAGCAGCTATCTCAATCAATCGTCAGTTATGGAAAGATCGGGTTCCAAAGGCCGGATCCCTTGTGAATCAAGTCACGAAAAGTTCAAGAATCGGCAACAGGCCATGGGCCTATTTCTTCAGTGCCGACACTTCTATTCTATTCTATTCTAATACTGTGATTTATTATAAATGACCATCTCTCTGCAGATATCTCTCAGTCATGGTTAAACTACTTGTAACGAATACGTGCATATAAAAAGTATTTATTTGTTCAATCCCAGGTATTGGTTGGAGAAAAACGTTCGATATATATAAAAGATGTATATATAAAAAAGCTCCCAGTAGAAATACGTGCAATAAAGTATGTTCCCCTAGGTTGCCCTGGATATAACTGTTACAAATAAGTTTCTTAGTGATTATATAATAGTTTTATAACAGTTATATCCGTAATACTACTTGCGGACTCGATAAACATGTGGACAAATTTAACATAAGGTCTTGACATGTAAAGTTTAATTATGTTACCACACATTGAACAGGTATCAACAGGACGTGTGTTCAGATGTTGAACAAAATACAGCGTAACAAGCCTACCATGACTGGGGAATAGAATTATTGACTATTTTCTTATTAACATCCATATATATATATATATCTATTCTTATAATAGATGTATATAAATAAATATACAATTTAAAATACATATAAAAAATAAAAAATTAAAATACCTACCTATAAATAAATATACAATAAATATACAATTTTCTTATTAACACCTATATATATACATCATTACCATCAATATATACATCTTGTTCTATGTAAATATATCAAAACGGGCTTTAAAGACCTGATAACTGATATCAAAATAATTAATGTTTGGTGCATGAATCTATGGTAATAGATGGAACAGAAGATAGAATTGTAATATAATATTAGAATTGTAGGTAATCGTATAGATAGTCCAGTCTGTAGAACGGCTATAGAATAAATAATCCTGTAGATTGATGCCCTATAACCAAATAATGCAGTCATATCGTCGCTTGTTGTCGTCAAAGTCATATCGTTGTCGTGATAAATTATTTCAATATTCTATTTCCTTGCATCCACGACACACGACATTATATATAACAGTAACTAATCTCTTTCACTCGCCCTGCTTCTGCGACAGTGCGTTCTACGAGTTATAAGAAAATAAACATTTTTTCTCAATTCGAAAACCAATTTCCTAGTTTAGATTTTGCCAAGTCATGGAGAAAGATTACAAGTTTCATCTTTAGAAAAGTTACCCAAGCAACTTGGTCCATCTTTAATTGGGCATGTTTTTAAGTGGAAATTTCTTGCGAGTTCTATATATGTTTTCATCCGTCTAATTAATTTTATTGGCTTCTATATGCTCTGGATCAAAGTTGAATAACACATAAGAGGAAAGAAGTGAAAGAATTTTTACACGTGAATTGGCGCCATATTAGCTTACTGACGAGATATCAATGCTGTTTCTCTCGTTATTATTAATAGAATTGTTTAATAGCAATGTCTAAAAGTAAAAATATAGTCCATTGCATGGAGTCGTGTTGTCTCATTTTGGCACGTGCCCACACATATGATCGAATTTATCATAGATTAGGGCATGCAATCGTATAAGCAAGTATCGACCGATTTAGTTCTTATGCAAAAACGGAAATAAAATAAGAAGTGCGTGATCGTTATCAAAATTTACGTTTCCTATGAAATAAGTTTTAATTTAAACGTTCCAAACATGAATACTTCAATTAATTTATCGCATAACAATCAAGTTTTTAATTTATATCTCCGTACAAAATGGATTACGGCCGTTTAATATACCTGCTACTCTGAATCGCCTTCGCTGGGTAATGATCACGATGTTTAATTGTATTTACTCATATGCATTCTATAATTAGCTAATGCCTCCTGTGCATGTCAGAACGAAAGACAAGGAAAAGGAACATGCTACTCATGCCCGTTATAACAGGAACGTAAGTGGTATGTCTTCAATACTGGAACACATATGGGAACGCTGCTCAATAATCAGGTTTACACAGTTGTGTGAAAACATGTTTTTATATGTATAAATATTATCCTCTGGCCCTTAGGTCACAGCAAGCCCTTGTGTTTGCAAACATTAATGGTAAGATGAACAATATTACGTACATGGTTTTTGTACTACTGCTACGCCAAAAACTGCAATGTCGCAGAGAGGCTAATAACATGGTCACCTGCAGAGAAATAGTACGCTAACAGACAATCGACGTCCAACTCGCGGAAGGAAACGCTTGTAGCTGTTAACTGCGTACTCTCACTCCAAGTTTTTCTTACTTAGGGGATCTTAACCCTCTACCGCATGACATGAGTAACCGGAGCAATATTGTCACAAGCCTACTTCCCAGAAAGCATACGTTATAGTGAGCGCAAAATGGCTTGCACTGATGGTTGACGCCACGTACGACAACTTTAAAATGTTCTCTGTTGCGTACAAACGTCCTCAGGTTGCTACACTCAATAGTTTACGTATAATTTGCCGCCACGTACGACAACTTTAAAATGTTCTCTGTTGCGTACAAACGTCCTCAGGTTGCTACACTAAATAGTTTACGTATTATTTAGGCTGAAAGTTATGTTCCCCGAGAGTGACATACGGCGGTAGAGGGTTAAGACGTACGCTTTTTCACGAAGCGGAGATCTTAGCCGCGAGATCAAGAGCAAAATTCTAAATTATCAATCAATCTTAAACGAGGTATACACGAATGGATCCTGTGGATAATACGGTTATTACTATCCGTATCAATTCCGGTAAGTGGGCTCAAAAATAGACTCATATGATGCGAGCAAACTTCGTAATCATCGCAGCGAGCTTTCCTCAAACTGTTAGCAGTTATGTACGCCATCTCCATGAAGCCATGGTTGAATTAATATTATTAATTCAACCATGCATGAAGCTATCTTCCCGGCAAAGAACTTGAAAGGAAAATTAGTAGCACTCTTTAGTTATTTCACACTTCGGAATATGTTTACCATAAGATTTAACGCTACATATTAAAATAAATTTAATATAGACTAACAGCCCTTCGCTTACAAGTTCCAATTCAGGACTGCGATCTCGCGAAGGAAAATCGGCTGTTTTTCAGAAAAAAGACGTGGTTCCATTGCATGGGCTCAGTTAACTCCAAATTCCCCCAACATCGAAATTATGACTTTTGCTTGCACCAAAACAACTTTATTTGCCAGATTAGTATATAATTTAAAAATGTGAAGCAGTTTCATTATAAATGAAAATAGCCTATTCAGTGATTCATTTACCGTTAGTGTTTATTGTGCTAATGAAAAACGTTGCGGACAATAGAATTCCTACAACGCTTGCATGAGCGTAATGTAAATGAATAGCTTCATTGGTAATTGATTATTAATTTTTCAACTTGACAAAATGATGATTGGAAAACATGCTGTATAAAACTTAGCGTTAGCGCGGAAATTAAAAACGAAGTGGAAAATAAAAATCAGAGGTAACGCTCGCAGGAGCCTACTGCGAATATGCGTCCCGTTTTTTAATAGGCCAAGATCGGGTTTGATTGGACGAAACTATACGTAGAAACTCGCTGTAAATATTAAAAATATATATTATATATGTTCAAAAATTTGTCTCGAAAGTCAAAAAATCACCGCCGAGGGCTGACATTCCTTGTCGCTCTCATTCGATTTACTGACGAGTTGCTACTTTTCATTCGCTCTCCTTAATTTTGACTTCAAAAATTTTTGTTGTCATTCAAACTTATGTTATATATTTTTACATTACCATTGAGGCGTATTCATTTCTTTATTAAAACATTAACTAAAATTGTTTCCCGACTCGCCTTCTGATTTTGAGATTGGCATGCCTGACTGGCTGTTAAACAATGAGCTTCGTTTGTGCTTCTTGCGTGCAGTGTTCTGGACAAGTAGTTGTGTTTTATTAATTGTGTATCATTTTATTGTAGGGAAATTCAATCATCTGCCTAGGATTCTGTGTAATCATTAATTAATCTCTGACGTAATACTGGAGCTTTTAGAAAGTTGTGGTGCATTATGGCAGGTGCCGAAGATGAACCAATGCATCTGTATGAAGTCTTCCAAAATTGTTTTAATAAAATTGCCAACAAACATACTGGTGAGAAAGCTATTGGTACTTTATCTTTGAACAATGTTTTTATACTAATTAGTAATTTAAGAGGAATTTAATAGTATTTCCGTCGTCAAGCTAAGTTTTCACTCAATTTTGTTGAATTTTATGTTAAACCTTGAAGATTTTTATTTATATATGTAGCTAGTAGGTAGGCTAGGTACTTTAAATGTTTACAAAAAATTTTGCCATGGGTCACTCTACTATGTGAGGACAGCAGGGTTCAATCAGGTTTTAGGCCCAAAATGTTGCATAGATGTTTTGATGCCAAAACTACCTTAATCTTTATAAAGCTTTGATAGGAAAAAATTAATAGCTACATCCTACATGAAAAGATAATTTGAGACAAATGGCAATGCCACTATGCTGAAAGTTAGATAATTTTTTTGCCACTTGCCAAGAACCTTATTGAATAGAATGTTACCAGTACTGCAGGATGGAATTCTAATATTGACGGTTCATATATTATTCCCGATACACCTACACCAGTTTTTCGATACAACATTATTTGAGGCAAAAAAAATGAACTTCTTATAGGCTTAAAACACGTATGGGTATGCTAAGTTTCTCTAAGGTAATTCACTGGAAATGTTGCGTGCCAGCAAGGCTGCAGGTGCAGCTTTCACTCAACAATTGAAATTATACAAAGTATTAGTTTGTTAAAGATTTGTCTCTTAATATGACTGCAAAGAAGTAAACTTAATAAAGTAATTACAGCTACCGTGACTATGCTGTCAAGCAGACTTTTCGATGATGCATGCATACACTAAACACGCAATTCATGGAAGCGAGAGTGCAAGAGTGTGAGACTACATAGAAGAACAAAACAAGGCGCCCGGCATGCAACTGCCAAATCAAATGACGATCGCGGCAGCGGCGGCACGGATCATAACGTTAATATAGTCAATGCAAGAGAATGATTAATTATGATATTTCTGATAGAGATTTGAAATATTTTCGGAAGCCTAAAACTATAACAAATTATTTTGTTACTTTGACATGGTTGATTTCAAAATAAATATTTTAATGTGAATTCATGAAAAACGTTTAAAATAAATTGAATAATGTTCATTTATTTCTATAGGTGGGAGTAATTTGAGTAAACAACTACCAATCGATTTATTATCCTTTAAATAAGAATTTTTGCATTGAAACTTCTGGAAGATGTGTCCACCGCAAAATTTGTACAGTGGTATCAAGAGTCAAAGCTGTCAACCGATCGTTGGATGGCCGCAAATATGTCGCATCGTTCTACCTATTACAGTCAATAGAACCTAAATAAACTCTGTTCATCAAAAGGACAAAAAGCTTAAGTATCAAACATACATGGTAGTACAATAAATTTTGAGATCTCCAGTCATGAGACTTAAATTCATACTCATAGGTGATCTTGAATTTCTGCACTGCGTTCAATTAAGCAATTTGTAAAATCATAAATTTCAAATAGGTACCAACTTTTTCAATTTAATTCTGAATGAAGATTTGTCTCTTAATATGACTGCAAAGAAGTAAACTTAATAAAGTAATTACAGCTACCGTGACTATGCTGTCAAGCAGACTTTTCGATGATGCATGCATACACTAAACACGCAATTCATGGAAGCGAGAGTGCAAGAGTGTGAGACTACATAGAAGAACAAAACAAGGCGCCCGGCATGCAACTGCCAAATCAAATGACGATCGCGGCAGCGGCGGCACGGATCATAACGTTAATATAGTCAATGCAAGAGAATGATTAATTATGATATTTCTGATAGAGATTTGAAATATTTTCGGAAGCCTAAAACTATAACAAATTATTTTGTTACTTTGACATGGTTGATTTCAAAATAAATATTTTAATGTGAATTCATGAAAAACGTTTAAAATAAATTGAATAATGTTCATTTATTTCTATAGGTGGGAGTAATTTGAGTAAACAACTACCAATCGATTTATTATCCTTTAAATAAGAATTTTTGCATTGAAACTTCTGGAAGATGTGTCCACCGCAAAATTTGTACAGTGGTATCAAGAGTCAAAGCTGTCAACCGATCGTTGGATGGCCGCAAATATGTCGCATCGTTCTACCTATTACAGTCAATAGAACCTAAATAAACTCTGTTCATCAAAAGGACAAAAAGCTTAAGTATCAAACATACATGGTAGTACAATAAATTTTGAGATCTCCAGTCATGAGACTTAAATTCATACTCATAGGTGATCTTGAATTTCTGCACTGCGTTCAATTAAGCAATTTGTAAAATCATAAATTTCAAATAGGTACTAACTTTTTCAATTTAATTCTGAATGAGTCGCGTCTGTTGAATTCTAATAGGGATCATTAATTTTTGCATCGTATTTCTGAAAATCAAGTATTGCATTTCTTTTAAATTAAAAACATTCTTTTACATCAAAAACAATGATTTTTTTCTTACAGCTTCTTCGATAATTGATGATCTCACTCATATAACTTGATACCTATTTTAAATTTAATGATTTTGTCATTTCGATGACTAAACTTTCTTCGGTTCATTAAAATAAAATAATTACTGCTTATAAACAACCAACGTTTTCTAAAAGACACAAGACGTTTGAAAACTTGCCATGGGAGACAAAATCATTCAGGATTTGAAGTGAAGTGAAGTTATCAAGACAAATTCGACATTATAGGGCAAAAACATGAATAAATTCGTATTTAGAAGCGTATCAATTGGTGTTTAAATTTTGAAACAATTTTCCATCATTTAAATGTCACTGTGAAATGTGGATCAAATCTATTTATTATGAAATTGAACTTTACAATACCAAAACAAGGTGTCTGACACCGTCTTGTCTAATGTCAATAGTCAACACAGTGTTGCCATACGCCATGAAAGATTAACAGTTTATCCCATCATTCCGTGTGGATTTGAGAACTTTGTTGGTATTGCTGAAATCGTGAGAATTTTCTGCGAAAGTTTATGTAATTTTCATTTTTTATTTTGGAACATATTCATTACAAAATTTGTCAATACGGATACACGACTAGTGATGTATTGGAGGGAAGAGTCGCCGACTTTTTATCGGTTTTCGAACCACACGCAAGCGAGTTCGATACATTTTCAATTTTTTTTTCGATACATTTTCTTTTGTTAACATGATAATATCTTACCTATACAGAATTCCATACTGACCAGTAGTATTGAGGAATTTGTTGCCAAAGACTCAAAGTTATCTATGCCCTTAACATTTCTCACCTAAAAATCAAAATAGGGTAAACGCGGTATATTCCGACATTGGGGGTAATTCCGACACTTCTAAACTTTTTCCTTTATATTAAGCTTTGTCTTAGTTCCACGCATTCATTGATGGTTGAAATAGTGACATCATACTATTGTGTGCCATACTATTGCCAAAACACTAGCACTAGGTCTGGGCCATCTGGGGGGAACATAGTGACAAACCACGGATTTTTTAGAATTGGTTCATTTTTAATTTCCTCATTTAGGGTAAACCGTAAACGAGGTATATTCTAACATTGTGGGTAAATCCAACACTTCTCGATTTTTTCCTTTATATTAAGCTTTTTCTTAGTTCCATGCATTTGTTGATGGTTGAAATAGTGACGTCATACTTTTGGGCGCCATACTATTGCCAATGCCAAAACACTAGGTCTGGGCCGTCTGGTGGGAAAATGTTGAGATCCAAAGAGAGACTGTGTGCGTCACCTAGTGAGAACATTGAAAAATGTGTCAAAGTTGATAGTTGACCTTGCTCTACCAAATAGTGATAAACTGTTTGAAGAGAAAGAATATTATGGTTTGAGACTTTTAAATACGTCTGTGAATATATTAGGAATCCTTTAAGTATACTTGTATATGCTGATTTCAAGTAGTAAAAAAATTAATAGATGATTAAGTTAAGAGACTGTTTTAGACACAAAAACTAATTCCGACACAGCTTGGAATTCCTAATTAAAAGCTTAATAGCTCTTAATTAAAAGCCGAATTAAGCAGTGTTCAATATTCAATACAGCAATCCCTTGATTAACGCGGTTAATAAATCCCCGAGTTTTACCGTGTTATGCAAAACCGCGCTAATCAAACTTAAGAAGATATGGGAATAATTATAATGAATCCTCAAAAATAGCAAAGTTACATAATAATTTTTTTTACACTAAAATTCATCATATTTTTTTCTAATAAAAAAAAGTCGCGCTAATCAAAACTGGCACCGCGTAGATTAAGGGTAGGTCGCAAATTTTTTTCCGCGTTAATCAAAACCGCGGTATTCAAAACCGTGCTAATCAAGGGATTGCTGTAGTGTTCTAATTCCAAGCTGTGTTGTATTCCAATTCAGCTCACACAGCGATCGGAATTCGGAAGTCTCACAAAATGCCGAATTTAGTCACACACAGTGTCGGAATATATGGATTTGGTAGGTTTGCATTCTAGAGGCTTTTAAATAAATATGGCAGCATTTTGTGACGTTTCATTGTTGCTGGCACGTAGTGCGGTGTTTTGAGAGTGACATAAAGCAAACAGAACTCGAGTTGCTCATACGGTGAATTATTTATAGCCATTCATTTTTTTGCTACGTCCTAATGTGTTGGAATTTACCGCGTTTACCCTACCTACATGTAAATAGGTGTTTAAAACGAGATGTGCAGCCATGCAGATGCTGAGTTTTGCATCAGTGAGATGCAAAACCTACTGATTTTCTGACCCCCAGCTGGAAAATTGGGTGAAAAGCCTCCACTAAATTAGATTAGATATTAATCATATAGGGCCCTTATTTTCTCAGCTTTCAATGTGTTAGGAAAATAAAGGCTATTATTAAGCTAGTGAGAGCAAGTCCGGAAAAGTCATTCATTTTTCTGAAATATCGCAGGGATTCGCAGCTATAATGTAATATAATTTCAGTAAGTATGAAATCTTGTGGCTTCATGTCATGTATTTTTGTTTGATTGAAAAAATCATGAAGATACGTTTCATAAAATTTTCAACATCCGCAATGATGGTTTCAACATCCGCATAGTTGCAGTCACGTCAAAGCTGTTAGACTGCATTATCACATGTTCAGTTACCACTAAAGTAAATACAAATGCTGTTTGAGTGTTTAACTTTTTAGGGTGAAATTAGAGATTTGGGAATGGGGTAACACAGGCACATGACATTGTAAATAAGTTTGCAGTTTGTAAATGACTCTTCATGGCCAAGATATGAAATTCCTGGCTCAAAAAAAAAAAAAAAAATGGAATGAAGGCTGGCAAATCCATAAAACAACAGTTCAAAAAACCTGTTGAGGCCCTCCAAGTAGATATATTCCATGCCTGAGTGAGAGTAATTAAATAAATTTGTTATAAAGATTTAAGTACTCTATTAGTTACTTTTCAACATAATTGCCATTTAAATTGAGGCATTATTCATACCAGTGTCAGCCTCATACACTATCATAACAGACCAGTTAGGTCCGACTGGAAATTTATGGTAATGAGCAGGCATACTATAAGTAACAATTATCACGGAATTGTACAGGAAAGCACTCGCATGGATTTTATAACAGATCTTGAAGATTTTCATGGAATTTCTTTGTTTTCAAGACTCAATATTTAAATGAATAACATCTCCTCTATTCAGTCTAACAAAGATTGTTCTTTTCATTGCCCTAATCATAAAGCATAGAGAAATTTTTGAGAAAAATTTGGGCATCTATTGAAAAGTTTGAATGTATTATATAATATTGAAAATATTCAAATTTTAATAGATTTTGGTTGATTAATGTAAATTTTCTCTTGCATTTTAGAGGATGGTTCAGATACAACCAAACATTTGCATTTCTTGTGGTCAATGCAAGAAAAATGTGAGATATATTACACTGCTCAGAATACTGAGAAACCAAGAAATTTATAATTAAATTGATGAATAAATTCTTGTCTCTGATGCAGAAACGTTTGAAAATTGAAATGAAGTTTTGATGACATTGGCACTTAACAGTGCAGCAATGTTCCATGACAGGCTTGAGTCTTGAGAGCCAAACCCAAGTTCCTAACACATTCCTATTTGATATGGAAAAAATCACATCTGAACAAACTATTTAGTGTAAAGGAAGGTCTTAACATTGATAAAAGACCTTCTCATATTCAGTTAGTCTGCGCTCTGTGGTCGATATTCACACACAGATTGCGTTCACATCATGTTTGTCTCTCAAGCAATACGATGGTTAACGAGCATGAATGTTGCTACTGGTATGGCAGCTACTGTTCTTTTGTGGGACTGGCATTCATCTGACTCATTTCCTGGCTTCATGCTTTGAAATTTGCACAGATTTCATATTTTTTATTGCACTGCAGATTTTGATTTAAATCATTGTTTATTTTGTGCATTCTGCAGAATTAGTTGGAATTTTTGCAGCCTAAGCCATTTGTGGAGTTTAATGCGTCCCTACAATGGACGTATCAAATTCTCCAAACGAACAACAATAATATACGTTTAAAAATTACTTTTTAAAGACAACACTTCAAAAAAATCCAGTGTCTCCAATCTTACAGATGTACAATGAATTTCTCATTTAATTTTCAAATATTGAAAAAATTAATTTTTCAATTTTTTAATAAAGAAATTTTTCTCAAAATTATTTATTCTATTAACTGATTCATGCATTGCTTCTGACTTCGCACAAGTGTGCAAAATTTCAGATCAATTAGACAGGTAAAAGTGTGTCAAATATCAGTTATAAGATTTGTAGCTGACAAAATCATTTTTTCAATTTTTTTAATATTGAAAAAAAATTTTTTAATTTTTAAAATCATTTATTTTGACATTTGATTCATGCATTGTCTCCAACTTTACACAAGTGTGCAAAATTTCTGATCGATAGGATAAGTAGAAGTGTGTTAAATTTTGATTACAAGATTTGTAGCAGACAGACAGACAGACAAACAAACAAACAAGAAGTGAAGTTAAAGAGAAGTGTTGTAAAAAAAAGAAAGAAACATTTCCATACAAACTTATCTCAAGTCATTAACAGCAAACTTCAATTAATACAGTATTAAGAAGCTTATTCCCAGGTATAAAAATGTCTCAATTTAAATGGCAATTATGTTGAATAGTAACTAATGATGCACCTAACTTTTGGTAATACATTTATTGAATGACTCTCACTAGTTTCATTTATATACCACTTCATAAAATGAAAAGAACAGCCCATGTACTAATTCTCTCCCTAAAAAATGCAAAATGCTGAGAAGGCTCTAAAAATTTTCATGTAAATTGTGTTTTATCTTTTGATCATAGGTAAAGAAAAACCATCATATAGTTCACAGGCACTTTGTGGCAACACTTGCAAAATGATGCCAAGTGAGAAAGTAAGAAAAAAATTCCATAAACTAGATGGTAAGATTTTATTTAAATGTTTTTTTTTTCAGATAAAGGAGCTGTCAGTGGAGCCACACCCATAGCAGGCAGCTACCAGGCTGCGGCCTATCCATCTGACAACCACCTGGTGAGTGACGAGCTGGCCGTAATTATTGTCTTCTTCTAATTGAAACTCAGTGGCAGTAATATCAAAAATATCTGTTTTGTTAATTCTGCCAGCCAATCATTGATAGAAAAATCCTTTTTAGCAATTTTTTTAAATTTATGAAAAAAATATAACTCAGTAGTACTCACTGCACTGAGTGACAGAGAGCGCATTTTCTTGTCGACAAAAATGTGAAGTCACAGACGGACATGGAAAACACAATAGTGCATTTTTTTCATAAATGAGAAAATACGCTAGAAAGGGCGCTATTGTGCTTGTCATACCCATCTGTCTGTCTGTCCGTGACTTGCGCTTTCTGAGAAAATGTGCACTCTGTCACCCATGCAGTGAGTACTGAGGTATATTTTTATATACCTTGTATAGGTACGTTTTTTTAACAGCAAGTTACCAGGCCGTAGGAATTCATATCAAATATGTGGAGCAACATTATTAATTCATATCAAATATGTGGAGCAACATTATCAATTCATATCAAATATGTGGAGCAACATTATTAATTCACATCAAATATGTGAAGCAACATTATTAATTCATATCAAATATGTGAAGTAACATTATTAATTCATATCAAATATGTGGAGCAACATTATCAATTTATATCAAATATGTGAAGCAACATTATCAATTTATATCAAATATGTGGAGCAACATTATCAATTCATATCAAATATGTGAAGCAACATTATTAATTCATATCAAATATGTGGAGCAACATTATCAATTCATATCAAATATGTGGAGCAACATTATTAATTCATATCAAATATGTGGAGCAACATTATCANAATCAATGAAAGTAATTAATTCATTGTTTGATGCTAAAGTGTTACACGGCACCTACATTATCATTGAGGCTAAAGTGTTACGTGGCACCTACGTTATCATTGAGGCTAAAGTGTTACGTGGCACCTACGTTATCATTGAGGCTAAAGTGTTACACGGCACCTACATTATCATTGAGGCTAAAGTGTTACGTGGCACCTACGTTATCATTGAGGCTAAAGTGTTACGTGGCACCTACGTTATCATTGAGGCTAAAGTGTTACACGGCACCTACATTATCATTGAGGCTAAAGTGTTACACGGCACCTACGTTATCATTGAGGCTAAAGTGTTACACGGCACCTACGTTATCATTGAGGCTAAAGTGTTACGTGGCACCTACGTTATCATTGAGGCTAAAGTGTTACACGGCACCTACGTTATCATTGATGCTAAAGTGTTACACGGCACCTACGTTACGGGTTTCGCCAAGAGTTAAGATTTAAGTTAAACCTACTATACACGTTTTCTTCGTTTAAAGGTTCTAAGCCATCGTTATGTTAGGCCGTTAAGAGTAAACTATGTTAAGTAAGAAAATGGAAGTCATTTATAAAAATCTTTGGGAAACTCCTTAGTTCTTATGATCGCGAATGGGTTACTTTTTTATTATAGTACCTTTTAAAATATATGTTTCACAGCATTGCCTCAATACTTCAAAAAAAATTTCAATAAATCAGATAGAGCACTAAAAAAAAGTAGAATTATTTCTCTCGATGCGTTAATAGAAAACGGCTCGCCAGCGCTAACTTGTGTAAACATGATGAATTCGGGTAAGGTTAACAGCTGCTTGCTGGATTTGACAATCGTACGAGTAGTGATGAAATCAGTACAAACGACGTTTCGTCGGGCAATTTGTTGATGAATAAGTCAGTGAGAACAACGTTTCGTCGGGCAATTTTTTGATGAATAAGTGTATCAATATAAAATAATAATAATATAACATATTAGTTATGCTATTTGGTAAGTTGTCTAATGGGGTTATTACTGAAGGGTTTATGCACCACAGAAATTAATAATGAAAGAGGACTATGTGTTTCACCTTACAGGGCGTAGATGGTGTGGGGGCGACAGCGTTGCAGGACCCCAGTCTAGCGTCACAACAATGGGTGAGTACACCCACGTTTCATTACCATTGTGCTTAGTATATAATTAAACAATTTAGAGTATGTTGTTTATACTTAACTCGGTGGTTCACTTGAGAACTTCCTCGCCGCGCTGTTCACAGTGTTAACGTTGCCGCGAAATTTTGTTTTACTTTTCTTAAATAAAATGAAGTTTCTGCAGCGCTTTTTGTCATCCGTGTATTGATATTACATTGTGTTGTACACAGTCTCGCATCACCGTATTATAATACTGAACAGGACGCCTGCTGCCGTGTATTGATATTACGTTGTGTTGTACACAGTCTCGCATCACCGTATTATAATACTGAACAGGACGCCTGCTGCCGTGTATTGATATTACGTTGTGTTGTACACAGTCTCGCATCACCGTATTATAATACTGAACAGGACGCCTGCTGCCGTGTATTGATATTACGTTGTGTTGTATGCAGTCTCGCATCACCGTATTATAATAGTGAACCTGACTTCTGCTGCCGTGTATTGATATTACATTGTGTTGTATGCAGTCTCGCATCACCGTATTATATTATAATAATTAACTATTATTAATTATAATAAATTATTAACTATAATAATTATTTATTAAATGATAATCCTGGCTTCTCGCACAGGCTTTAACCACGAGTGAACATTGAACGAGCGTGGAATAGTATACGCTGTTAAAAAAAATCACCGTTAAACGGTATTACTGGCGTTTCAGTAACCGGCCGACACGTTAAAATAAACACCGTGTTGCCGTTTTTTTTTATTTTACACCAGAAACCCGTGTAACATCTGTAAAAAGGCAAAACGGTTTATTTTCACTAGGCGGCTGGTTACTAGAACGCCGGTGAGACCACTTTTCGCTGTCACCACCATCATCATCACCACCACCACCACACAATATATACAGTCTATATACAAGCAGAGATCATAAGTGCCGTATGGGGTAATATTAATAATATTAAAAACTAGAACGCCGGTGACACCGTTTTTCCACTCTTTTTCGAACAGTGTAACATAATATTGATCCCGTAGTACAGTGAACTGATGCGTGAACAACGTACTCGGTGACCCCTATAACTGTGAGCTGCCCGCTACGTTCTCACGGGGTGTGGGTGGAGCACGCCAGCGTGGGGAGCTAATGATCGCCTTTGTTTACATGCTCACTTTTTAATATTGCAATATTTGCATGCCATTTTAGCAACGATGTGGAAAAAGCTAGGATTTGTACGTTTCTATCGTATGTTGTTACCATTGTACTGCAGATACCATTAACCATTAATCTCTACAATATCTCGCATGGTATTTACACTGCAGTGTTACCATTGTACTGCGGATACCACAAACCATTACTCTCTACAATACCTCGCATGGTATTTACACTGCAGTGTTACTCGCATGGTATTTACACTACCGTACTGTGTTACCATTGTACTGCAGATACCACCAACCATTACTCTCTACAATACCTCGCATGGTATTTACACACCGCAAGTTTCAGTCTGGGCCGCTATACGATGAGGTGTACGATGCAGGAGCGCCGCTAATGGCACAAGTTTGCTCGTTGCCGCCCCGCATCGCGCTACTGCAATGTCCTTTCATAGCCGAGCTTTCGCGCTGAAAAATTCACCACTTTCTTTTTGTATTAAAGTTTACCTATTATATTTTTATGTGTTAGAATTGTCATTATTCAACCTTGCGGTTTGTCCCATACTTTTTTTAAATTTTTCGTTTTATTGTATTACTTTTATATTTTCTCGTCCTTTAGCTTCTCGTCTCGCGTAACTTAGTGTTTGGTCCAGGGCTTTCTTATATAGATAAATTCACGAAATTACATAACCATGTGAAGTTAATATTACCAAGTTTAACCTTTGGTTTACGTATAAACCAACTGTCATCGAAGCTATTCTTATCTATGGTTAAATAATTTGGATTAATAGTGAACTATTGTGATCTTTTAGTTGAGTAAGGATTTAAACTTCTGACGTCTATACTCAAGAATTGTGATTGCAATACCAGTACAATGATTCATTGTTTAATAATGATTCATTGTTAAACTACTTCCCGAGAAAATTGTGAGCTGTAGGTATGTCTCATTGCCTGCATGCTCACTATTAGCTGCATATCCCAGTGTATAGTGACCAGGCCCGCTAAGTTATTACACCATTATGAACTTATATTTGTGTTGCCGTAGACGAATCCAAGTGTGGTGGTAAATGAATTAATTCATAAAAGCTAAAACGAAACAATTATGTGGTGTTTTGGGCTTCTCAAGCTGCGGTTCCGCTACTTCGTTGCGAACCATTACTGACGAAAATATGAGACCCTCGAGTGAAATACTGAATAGATACCCAAGTATCATATAAAGATATGTGGCCGTACTTTCAAAACTCGCTAAGTGAACGTAAGTACTTGCGCTCTATTTTCTTTTCTATGATTGGTGGATTTTGCTTGAAAGGCCGTCAATGATTGGCTGATGAACTTACGATCTCTTAACTGTTTTTAAAAGAGTGGCTTGAAAGGCCGTCAATGATTGGCTGATGAACTTACGATCTCTCAACTTTTTTTGAAAGTATTGGCCATGATACTCAAGTATAATCAGGATTAGTTAATTTAGCCGGTCATTTTACCAGTGTGAACCCTATACGAACGTAACCGTCCAGGCTCAAATTTCCCTCTTTTCACCTGGGTTATCTTTTTTCTCCGCTTGAATAAAATTCGTTTTTTTTGTGAAGTCTCATTTTAAAGTAGGTTTCCCCATTTCATTGTGTTTTGGAAGCTCCATCTTTCCCCTGATAGATTTCCAATTTACTCAAATTTTTTCCCTGGAACTCGCCCAATTTTTTCGATGGAATTTACTTTCCTCGATGGTGCTCACCAATTTTCCCATTTCCTCTCATGAATCACCAATTTTCTCGTTGAGGTGGTCACTTCTTCCTAATTTTTCCATGGCTCCAGGGTTGGCTGTATCGGCGCGCCATCTTGAAGTTGACAAAGCAACTTGGACGACACACTACACTCGGAATAGTG